TAAAAAACATATCCATGTTATAAATCTATGTAATATATCATGTATGCTTATAAATATTTATATTTATTTGTAACTAATTATGTTATTATTATCAAAAAATATAATTATCATTCAAATGAAACAGTATAACTTCTTAAACAAAAAAATAATTTTATAATATAATTTTTAGAAATTATATGTTGGAAACACATTTTATGCCACCGTCTTTCGATTCCGGTCCTTAATATTTTTTGGACAATTGCCCCCAACTCGAATTTTGAAAATAAACGTAAATAGAATCAGAAGAGCAACATTGCACATAAAACATTTTATCATTATATTATTTTAACATTTTATGGTGCAGAAATATTATCTAGGTATGTATTTGATGTCTTTGAGAAATTTATTTTCAAAGACTATTCCATATTCATTTCCATGATACTGGTAAAAGTGATTATAGGATGATAACGTGATATCCGTAGCTTGGAAAATTTGAGTTGGTTGTCACATGTTTGATTGCTGATGGCTCGTCGTCCTTAGAATTATTTTACACGTGATCTGTGTTACAATTTCAAATCCAGGTTCTACATCAATTAAAAATACTAACTATTTCTGTAGAGACCTGTATCCTATAACTTTCTTCATATATACAGGTTACTGATAATATTATGTTAGTAATTAATGTTTTATTATATTTTTATTGATTAAATAATTTCATTTTCATTTTCTTGTCATTTTATAGATTTTATTGGTGAAATGGTTGTATTCACCTGTAATAACTGTGGAGATTCGGTGAACAAGCCTAAGGTGGAGAAACATATTCAATATGAATGTAAACGCAAACATTTTGCTGTGAGCTTTTGTTGTGTTGACTGTCTTAAAGATTTTAAGTAAGTATTTCTGAAATATTTAATTTTGTATGAAATAATATTATGTTAGACTCTGTATGAAATGTATTCTTATAAAGTTAATACATCAAATTTATTATAAATTAACTAAAATATTAAAAGAAATTCTTTTTTTAAGAAAATTATAAGTTTATAAAAAGTTCCTAGTTACTAAATTTTAATAGTGTTAAATACAAACATTTTTTTAAAAAATACAATTGGTATTTATGTTAATATTGATATGGTAGTTTATTTATTTATCATGCACAAATTAATTATTTTAGTTAAAATAATTTTAAAATATTGACATTTATCCAATAAATATACTATATACTTATATAAGATAAGTTCACTTTCATCAAAGACCAAACAAATAATGTACCTTAACATTTTCATTCTAAGGCTTAAATTAAGTTTTATTTAATCATATTTGTAAGTTTTTTTTAGAAATAATTCAGTATTCCAAAATTTTTAATGAAATAAAAATATTTAATAGTTTATGTAAAATGTTTAATGTATTTCTAAGTACAATTATGTTGAACTTTTGATTAAAAATTAAAAGAGAAATTATTAAATTGAACTTTTCTCCACTTAATGCATACCTTTATAACTGATTTTTTGCAAGAAAACCTAAGTTACCTGCCATATTCTGTTGTGAACCTGAACTACAATATAGTTATGAGAAATACGTATTTGACCTTAAAAGAATAATGCAAGAATCAAGGAAGGTAGATTATTTTGAAGAATAATATATAATAATTTATTTACATATATTATCTGCTAACTTACGAAATAAACAAATAATCCAAAATACTAACCAGAACTTAAATAAATTAATACTTCTAGAATGTGTATGTTATAGACATTCATCATATTAACTTTTTATGTTTTTGAATTTACAAAGATAAATTGTCTTGTCCCAGTAAAAGGCCTCTTTGAAAACATCATTGGTGTGTTGTACTGCTCTTAAGAAGTTAGTACACTATAATGTTTTGATATACTTAGTTTCTAGATGTTTCTCAACAATTTTATATTTTTTCAATGTAATAAATAAAAAAATAAAGCTACCCAAATAAAATATTTGTAGTTTTTAATTTAATAAACTGATTTATCAATAATCTCATATTTAGTCAAAATTGTTGATTATATAAATTGATTGAGTCCCAATGCATGTTGAATTGTATTATATATTTTATTTCAGTCAAGAAACAGTTAAAGACCATTGCCAATGTGTAACAGAAGAACAAAGATATTCTGCCAAAGGTTTTGTACCAAAAGCTTCTGCAGAAAAAGGAAAACGCAAACAAGCTGGTTGGGTAGATATAGTACAGTCTGTAATTAATAGGAAAGACTTAAGTAATGACGAAAAACAATTTTTAAGTATCATTACCAAATTTGATAATGTACCAAGGAAAAAAAATAAATTCCAGGTATTACTTATATTTAATTTTTACATATGTTTTATTTGTTAATTTTTTTAATTTTATTATTTTTTCTAGAACTTTTGTTTTTCTTCTGCACCTGCTTATAGACGAAAGGAACATTTAGTAAATAAAGTATTTGATATGATTGAAGCTGAGTATAAAGCACAAACCCAGATTTCAAATGAAAAATTATCTAATAATGACAATAAACCAAAAACCAACGATACTGACAATTTAAAGAAAAATGACTCAATTCAAGAAGAACATCTCCAAAAAATTAATAAAAAGAGGAAGGATGTTGAAAATGATGAAGAAAAAGAAAATAATGATGGTAAATCAGAAGAAGTATCAAAAAAGAAGAAGAAAAAAAAGAAACAGTCTATTGATATGTTAAATGATGAAATTAAAATAAAATCTGAAGAAAATGACAAACTACAATCCAAGAAAAAAGACAAAAAATCTCTAGAAAATAACATAAATGCTGAAAATGATTTGGCATTAAAAGAAGCAAATGCTGAAATTATATCAGAAGAGACTGTTTTACCTAAATCAGAAAAAAAGAAGAAGAAAAAGAAGAAATCAATAGGAAATAACATAACTAGTGAAGGCAGTTTGACATTAGAAGAATCAAATTCTGTTGAAACTGAACTAGACTCAACTATAAAGTCTTCAAAAAAAAAAAAGAATTTACAAGTAGAAACTAATAATTTTATTGAAAACGGTATTACTAATACTGACAGTTTAAATACAGAAGAAAATAGTTTATTAAATGGAAAAAATGCCATTTTAGATGACAAAACTGAATTTCAAATGAGTAAAAAAGAAAAAAAAGAAATGAAAAAAAAAATGAAATATCAACATGAATTAGCATCTGTTACTAATGGTGTTATAGAAGCAGTCAGTGAACCAATATGTAAAAAGAAAAAAAGAAAGTTAAATAACAATGTTGAAAATGAGGAACCACAACAAAAAATTTCAAAAACTGGTAAATTTTATTTATTTAAAAATGACATGGTTACATTTTTTTTTAACTACATAAATGGCTGCATCTGAATTGGATCTCGAATTATTTTAGGTACTACACTAGTTGGGTCCTGAATTATTTTAGATATACATTAGTTCCTGAATATTTTTTGGTAAGTACTACATTATACAAACATTTTCCTTCCCATTTTAACAGACTTAGAACTGCCAATAATCTATTTCGACCACATGTATGGTTAAAAATATTTTTTATACTTTTTTTTTTTTTGATTTTTAGTTTCTTTTCCATTAATTTTTATTTGTATTATATAATATGTATTTTTATAATTGATTTTTAACATTTTTAATATTTTTACCAACACAATTCTAATAATTTATATTTTAACGGAAAAGAAACTAAAAAACAATAAAAAACGTGTTTAACCATAACTGTAGTCTAAATAAATCATAGACAGCCCTAAGTCTGTTAAAATGGGAAGGAAATTGTTAGTATAATGTAGCACTTACCAATAAATATTCAGGAACTAGTGTAATAATAATTCAGGACCCAACTAGTGTAGTACCTATAAAAACTGGGACTCAATTAGTTGTAGTACCATAAAAATCCAGGTCCCAACTCGGATGCTCGGACTTAAATTTAAATCTATAGTTTAGATGATTAAAATATATTAATAAGTTAGTGATTTTGTGTGTTATCCAATAATTTGTATATAATTTTGAGTTTGGATTCTAAAACAGTGCCATATAAATTGTGTATGCAACATTTACTTTGTATACAGGCCTCTGGCCTCATACTATATTATTGGACCTCAAAAGGTCAAATGTTCAAAAATGTACAATGATAAGAAGCCTTCAGATTTTGATTTGTTGTCGGGATTTCGAGTAGTTCAGTTACAGCATTGATTCTAAACTATCTAGTTTTAGATTCTGAGTAAAATTGTGAATGTTTTGATTGTTTTATCATATGTTATCATTATTTTAATCAGAAAAATTTCTCATGAGAATCATTCACATGCATCACAAAAACACAAAAACACATGCATTTGTGGTGGCGTCTTGTTAAGAAATTTCAACTAATTTGCATTTCTTTTACCCAAAATTTTTTTTGAGAACTATTGTACATTGATTTTAAGTTATAAAGATACAAACTAATATGTTTCACTTTTCCTTATACCTCACCTGATTTAGGAGTTTAGCTCTCTTTTATTTCTTCCATTTAAACTCTAGAAAATTTGTAGCCGTGTTATTTTCATAATGATATATTTTTTTTTTCAATTTTTAACTTGTTATATGTGTTATATTTATATAATGATTACAGAAGATACACCTCAAATTTCAGAAATGCAACCGGAACGTAAATTTGAATGGAATGAAGCAATTAATCAAGTATTGATGGGTAAAAAAGACAAACCAATATCTTTGAACAAAGTTATGAAAAGAGTTATGAATGAATATCATTTGTTAAATGAAACAACAAAAAAAACTGAAAGTGAATTAGAAAAAATTTTTCGAAAGAAAATTAAAAAAATGAAAAATGTTAAGATTGATAATGATAAAGTACATTTAATATAACATTTATATAGTAATTATTTTTACTTTAACATACTATACATGTATTATTATATCAGTTTAATTTAATTTAATTAAAATTTAAGATACTAAAAAGTATAAAAAGTATTGTAATTATTTGTAAAATATCTTGACTTTTTGTTGAAATATGAGCAAACATTATGTATCATAATTAATCATAACAATTTTTTAGTAAAATATCGAATGGAAAATTTAATTATATTGAAATATCTTAAATATTGAAAAAGCATGTATACATTTGTCTAAGAAGAAATAAAAACTCTTTAATAATATAATTACTTTCTTAAGTAATTATTTTGTTTCAAGAATATTATTTGCATGGCTTTTTCTTACAATATTAATACTAATATAATTAAAACAATACTATAAACTAAGAATCTGATTTTGTATTGGCTATCAGATAATAATGGTATCTACACACATTTTTAATAATCAGTCTTAATTTTTATGTTATATACCTATATATATATATATGAATCGCTAAATGCAGAAAGGGCACATGTCCAATATTTTACAAAAATCACTTTATTGCATAATCCAATTTAATATTGATAAATACATGGTTTTGTGCAGACAAGGCACATATCCTATTAAATAGATCCCCGTTAAAAATAATTTAAAATTTCGTTAATTGCAGAAAAGGCACATGTCCTGGACATGTAACCTTTTTGCATCAAAATTATACTTTAGTAATATTATCAGGCCTAAATTTCGTGAAATTACTTTATTGTATGACATGAAATATTGTTCTATTTATAAATTTAATTTTTTATAATTGTTTATCAGTAAATAAAGATTATAATGGGAAAACGTTGCTTTACCTAATTATAAAATAAAATGATTATCAGTGAATAAAATAAATATTGTACTGGTACGATCTTGTACGATCATAACGTGTATAACTTTAAAATATGAGTTCAGGCGACGAATGTATTAGTCCTCTCAAAAGAAAAAAAGGTGTTTCTAACAGTGATAAATATAAAAGAAATATTATTAAGCAAGCAAAAATCGAAGGGAAAAAACATACAAACTGGTTTGGAAAAATAGTTGCTACAAAGAATGATCCTTCATTAATACTTAAAGAATGGTAATTATATAATATTTAGTTTGTTTTATTCGTTATTAATAAGTAGTAGCTTTTATATTTTTACAATAATATTTTCGATTTAAAGTTGTTCAAAAAAATGTCTCAAAGACATTCAACAAGAAAAACTTGAAAATACAATGAAAATGTTTTATGAAATGCATTCTAAAAATGAACAAGACCTTCATCTTCAACGAACAATAGAAATAAAAGAAATTACAAGAAAACGAAAACGAATAGAAACAGAAGAAGGAAAAGAAAAACCGAAATCCAAAAGTGTTCAGTATTTTTTAATAGTAGATGGACAGCGTATTCAAGTATGTAAGAAAGCTTTCATTAACGTTTATAATATTTCTATTAAAAAAATTAGACGGCTGGTCGATTTGTTAGAAAATATTATTACCCCAGTTGATATGAGAAGCAAAAATATTAGTGCTAATACTATGCCATATGAGTATTGTCAAAAAATACATGAACATATACTGAGTTTTCCAACTAAAGATACTCATTACACAACACGATTGAAAAATTATTTGAACCCTAAATTAAATGTTAAAACTATGCACACAATGTTTTTAGAAAAGTATCCAGAATTAGAAGGGAAAATAAAATATCAATATTATTGGGAGTATTTTAAGAATAATTTTTCATTAAGCTTTGGTGCTCCAGTCAAAGATGCTTGTTCAAAATGCGAAGAATTAAATACAAAAATAATGAGTAAAGATTTAAATGATGTTGCAAAAAGAGTTGCTGCTGCGGAATTACTAGTTCATAAACGTAGAAGCAAAAAATTTTATAATAATATTAAAAAAACAATAGAGATTTCTCAACAGAATAAAAAAGTGTTAGGTCTTTGCTTTGATTTTATGGCTGTAGTTGACTTACCTAAAATACCGGTGCAGGAAGTATATTATTATCGTCAATTATCTGTCAATACTTTTGGTATTCATAATTTAAATACGAATAATTTATTTTGTTATGTTTATCATGAGGCAACAGCAAGAAAAACGCCAAATGATGTATGCTCTTTTTTGGTTCACTATATTAATAATTTTGTTGATGATAATGTTGAGGAATTGCATTTGTTTTGTGACAATTGTGCTGGGCAAAACAAAAACCATGCATTACTCAGAATGATTATGGCTCTAGTTGAAATTAAAAAATTAAAAAAAGTTCAGGTGTTTTTTCCACAAAGAGGACACTCGTTTTTGCCGTGTGATCGTGACTTTGCATTGATAAAAAAACAACTGAACAGAGTGGATCGTCTATACACTTTAGAAGACTGTATAGAACTTATTTTAAAATCATCAAGAAACCCAGAAAAATTTTCAGTGTTTCTAGTTGATAAAAGTATGATTTATGACTATCAAATGTGGTTTCCACAATCTTATAATAAAAATACTAACGCATTAGAATGTTTAAGCCGTAATAAAACATTGAAACAACGTCGTACAATAGAAAAAATTTTTAATTTCTAAGTACCATTATTTTGAATGTGTATCGGAAAAATGTGGAATAATTGAGGCAAGTGAATTTATTGACGGAATAATATCAAACCATTTCAAATTGAGAAAAAACAATGCAATGTCCATACAACTCCCAAAAACACTAGTTTATACTTCAAGCTTACCAATTCTTGAAAGCAAAATGAAAGATTTGAAGCAACTAGCGAAATATATTCCGGAGCCAGCATTGCAATCATTTTGGAATTATATATTTTCGTTACAAATTAAGACTGTTACTAACCTCAAGCAAGGCAAAATAGAACATAAGATATTTATATAATTAAATTTCTAATTATTAAAAATATATCAAATATTTTTGACTCAATATTAATATATAATCTACTGTATATTATTTAATCATGTCAATTTAACTTTTATGCATATTAAAGCTACTTATTTATAAGAAAACGGTTATTTTCGAAATATAAATGGTAATTTGAAGCATAAACGGCACATGTCCACAACCTTAAAGTCCTTCAGATACCTACAGTTAGATTATATTTCTTTAAGTGATTGTAGAAATATGTATACCATGTCTTTAACTATATTATTCTATAACATACAATTTGTAATTCAATTTTTTTCAAATATATTAAGTTTTTTGTGTTTCCTGAAAAAATGTAAAACTTGGACATGTGTCCTTTCTGCATTTAGCGATTCATATATTAAAGGTCTGCATAGGCCGATACTTTACAGCCCGTTCCAGCCCAGTAACATTTTTGGAAAGCCCGGCCCGATAAAATTTTTAGATAATCCGGCCCGGTTAGAAATGAAAAAATATTCAGTATTAAATAAAATTTAAACAACAAATATCACATAATGTAATTTTCAGTCTTTTGAATAACAAATTGTAACATAACTAATTAAAAATTTGTCTTTAAAATAATAAAAAAAATTAATAAGTTGTAAGCAGTAGGTACCAGATTTTATTAAAGAAAAGTCCGGCCCGTAACTTTTGTGCTAATTGAAGGTCCGGCCCGGCCCAAAGTCCGTCCGGACCGGGCCAATTCTGGGCCGGTCCGGGTAAGCCCGGCCCGTGCAGGTCTTTAATATATATACAAACATCATAGGCAAACAAAATTATTTAAAACAATATTTTAAAATCTTGCAACAAAGTGATTATTTTAATTCTTACTACAAACATCCAACTTATTTTGAAGTGTATATAGATGGATACACCATAGGTACTGGATAGTTGCTAGCGTGGTACCCTGCTATATAAGTTTTGATGGAAAAGTAAGGTAAAAAATGTTTAATATTTTTAATCATTTAAATATAAGCCTAAATTTTAAAGTTGTAAGGTGTAATTTGAATATTTCATTGTAATTACCTGTATTCCTATACTTAGTTGACGTATTATAATAAAAAATAATCTTATTTAAAAACAATATAATAATTCTTTCATAACTCCCTTCATTTTGAATTAGTAAATATTAAACATGCTCAGTGGCGCACGCAGGGGGGGGGTCAAGGGGTTATACCCCCCTGAAAGTTTCTCCGATGTCTAGGTTAAAATTTACAAATTTTATAAGTTTGAAATATGAAGAGCTAGTATTGAATACCTAATATCATTGATTATAGAATAGTCTATTCTATTATCAATGCTATTATTTAAGTCAAAATATATTAAGAATTTGCATAATTTTGTTAATTATAAAATGTGTTATATTTTTACCTTGACTCCCCCATGCTCTAAAAACTTTTGATATGATTTTCGTAGTGTCTTGGAATGAATTTCTAATTCACTTAGCAATAAATCCAATGGTGCAAAAAAATATGCAAATGCAAAAACTTCCAAGCCCTATTTATAAGTATGCAAAAATAATAATAATGATAAAAAACCATTATTATTTAAAAAATATTTCCAACTTTATGTAGATATATAAAATTACACATAATATATAAGAAATTTTTTTTTCTAGATACAGTATACACATTTTAATATAATACCTATATATTAAAATCAACTCTAAAAGTAATTCCTTTTTTACATAATTAGGTTTTTTTTTTATAACTTTACTAAGTTCCCCAATTCTGTCGATTAAAATATCGTAATACTATATTTTTAATTTCTAAAACATTGGGCCATTTAATCTATTATTGTAATGGGCCACCGGGATTTGTCTCGGTGTCCCGCCAGGCCAGTCTTCCCCTGAGTACATCCCACAGCTTCAACATCAGCAACCACAACAACGACCAACACAATCAGTGGTTCCCAACCCGTGGGCCGCGAGCAAGTGGTACTGGGCCGTGAACCATATTATATTAATATTACTTACATATATTTTTAAAATATTAAATATCAACAAGTGAATAAGATTCGTTGATTGAACTTTCATGTGATCAGACTCTAAAATCGTTTTTTTAAAACTACACCATTATTACCATTCTAG